CGTGATGCCTATGTGTCTCTTGGTGCACGTTTTTCCAGTCACCCGTCGAGAGACATTCCTCGAGATTTCGATGCGTGTACGAAATACTCTGATTTACGCTTCTCTGTACACGGAGGAACACGCGCGTCTATACGTATGTACATGCGTTGCGCGACCGATCTCGTTTGACGAACATCACGAACATCACGAACGCGACACCGGTTCCAAAACGAAAAAAAAAAAAAAAAAATAGGAAGAAAGAGACCGCCGGTGAACACTTACACATTTCGCGGCCGGGCTCGAACAATGCTAACGAACGATGAATATTCACGGACGAATATTTATTAATCCGTCTCGCGTCGTTCCGTATTGTTCTTTCGTTGAATTTCACGTGGAACGCGAGCGTATAAATATTTCGGCGAGGACGTTGGTACACACGCGCGCACACACGTAGATCGGATAATCGCGAAACAAACAATCGGAAACAAGCGGCATAGTTGGATGAACGGCGCGCTCGAAAAGCTGATTCGTTCTGATGATGTGTTTGGTACCGGGCGCGGGCTTGACACGATCGATCGATCCTGGTTGCTCTTTCGTCCCAGGAGAAACGAACGATCGATCGATCGGATCGTGCGCGCGACGATCGTGTTCTCGCGGTGAGAACAGCCGAGTTCCGCGGTGAACAGTGTGAAAGAAAAAGTGGGGGTGGGTGGTGGGGGTGGGGTTGTGGGGGTACACGCGTCGGTACACGCACGAACGAAGAAGAGGAAGAGTCAGAAAGAAATGAACGAACGGCTGTCGATGTGAGTTCTGTATGAGAGTTCGAGAATTCAAACTGTACCATCAACACTTCGGACACGGAGCTGATGCTGAGGACATACATGGTGACGCCGACCTCCACTGGTGGACCTGTAATCAACAAAACCATCCGGCCTTGGTCGCTCTGATTATCCGCTAGTTTCTAAGTTATCGTACATGTGACAGGTACACACTGTACGTAGTTACAACGGTTAGAATTCGTGTGTTACCTCTGATTCACGGCATCATAGCAAAGCATCGTTCATTTTGCAACGTGAAAGAAGCGAATAGAACGATTCCCGACTACGTTCGAAATTGAAATTCCACCTAGAATGTTAGAATATCAACTAGCTCGTTATCGTTCGCAATGATACCGAGGTAAATGTTGCTTCGGGATAGTTATTAGCGCGAATCAGGGGTAAAATGCAAGCGTACAAGTCGAAGAGAGCTCGCACCCTGCACGGAACCAAATCAACAGCACTCGTCGGCCACGTTGCTTTCCAAGCTAGAAGAATTACTCACACTTGACTTGTTATTATATATATATATATATATATATAATGTTTGTTATATATGTATATATACATATAGTATGTATACACACACCCATCACAGTCACGTGGTGAGCAAGGTGACTTTACCTTACTCGACTTTTGTTTCACTTCCTTTCATGTTCTTTTGTTACGTTTCCTTTCTTTCTTTTTTTTTTCCTTTTTTTTCTTCGTTCTCGTTACTCTTCCCTTTTATACATTTTTCGTTTCTTGTTTTGCGGCGTTGTTAACCGAATCATTCTAATTACATTGCACCAGCTATATCGCTTCTGCTTCGCGTATCTCGGAAGCATTCGTGTTTATCTCCGGTTGCTGTCTTTTTTTTTTTTATTCTTTCTTTGCCTCCTTCGCTTTAATCCCGTCCTTTATCTGTCTACCCCCTAAGCCCCCCCTTCCCCCCGAGCGATACGTCGATTCTTTTTTCGTCCCAGACTTTCAACGCTGGTTATTCAACCGTGTTCGCCCTCTCTTTCGAGCCGTATTTCCAACCCTCGAGCTAAGAAACGGGATGATACTCGGTGAACACTCGCTGTCATTGTCACTGCGATCGTCGATTCCGGACGAAGAACTTGTGTGCGATTAAAAAGACAATTACGTCGCAATTTCACATCTCTTTCTTTTTTCGCTTCTTTTTTTTTTTTGTTTTGTTTGATTTTACTCGTTTTTTTTTTTTGTTTCGTTTTTTCCTTTACTCGTGATTTTAGTCAGCTATCGGACGGACGTTTGTGGACGTCGTTTCAAGAATCGTGGAAAAAAAAGTCGGGGTCTTTCGTGTTTGAGAACGAACGTGTGATACGTGCGGTGTCAGACACAAGGGGGGTGGGGGTGGGGGGTTGGTGAAAGGTAGAAAGTGTGATGGTGAACGGTGGTGGTGGGCGGGGGTTTCGAGAGGGGGGCGGCGGCGGCGGGGGCAGAATGGGGCAACAGGGGTTCAAATCGGGCGGAATAAAATATAGAATAACAATAATTGTAAGTGATGGCAGGCGGGCAGCCCATCTTAGCAACCGCGGCATAGCAGCTAGCGTCTAAAAAATGGTCTAAACGGGAAATGGTTCGTGCGTATGTAATATATATATATAATATATATATCCAAAATTGAACAAGATACTATTCTTCTACTTAGAGAGGAAACAAAAGTGTTCGTTCGTTTGTTTGTTTTTTTTTTTTGTCGCTTCGTTACAAGAGCAGACCACGCTTCAGACAGCTTAAAGGCTAAAAAAAGTAACAAGCAGGAGACATAGTGAGTAATAACTTGGTCTACACTCGGAAAAAAAACGTAAGATCAGAAACGATTCAGGCCGTTCAGAATATGTGTGTGTATGTATAAAATACGTATGCAAAGAACAGTTATAGTAACTGAGACAAATTGGTCATCGGAAATATTCGACGAGAAGGAAGAGTGAAAAAAAAAAGAAAAGAAAAATACAAGATAGAACGTTCTGTGCCTTCTAGAAACTATGCGTGTAATACAGATACAAACCATTCAACCGGACTACGATTCACGGGCCCAGACCACTATCACGAGCTGTTCTCTATCTACGATTATAGAATTCGATCCTTTTTTTTTTTCTGAGTGTAGCCTACTTGGCGGTTGCGAGCACTTTCATTGTTTCACACACGCGAAATAGTACTTTGTCCATTTTTGGTTCGGTGTCGTTTTCTTGTTTTGTGTTTCTATTCGTGGCATCTCGCCACTACGGTGTATAACTCGTATTCTTCTTGTGTCGCTGTGTTCCACATGCACGCGCACAATTACTCTAACATTGACACGAATCGCTACTATGGTAACTAGATTGACTTACTGATGCACAGTATCAAAAGCTTAGTAATACCTTGATTACAAAAGAAAATTAGAATCAGTTTCGTTTCGTACGTGACGAAGTTGCAATGGTAAGCCATGGCTGTCGCTCGAATCGTTTGCTTGTACTACTTAATCGCGCACTTATCGCGTACGCTATTCTGTCTGGGATATGTTTGTTTGCGCTAAACGTAGAGTTTATTAGAGTACGTTGACTGCATTGTTTAAATATGGAAAGTAAAGTTGGTTAAATTTGTGTCGTATTTTGTTCATTCCGGTACTACAACTGGAAACGAACGAATGAGGGTGATGTCCGACTGTTTACAAACCAAGGGAAACACAGCTATACTGCCTGTATTTTGGTTTTTCGACAAATAAAATAAAATAAAAAAAAAATTTCTAGAACAAACAACCGTTAAAAAAGCAATAAACGATGGCTTAACTATTATCCGACGGTTTTTATTGGATGAACCTAATAAAAAAAGAAAAAAATATATATATAAAACGATTCGAAACGATTCTATTTCGAAGCACAAATATTCGTTTCGGCAAAAAAAAAAAAAAAAAAAAGAGAAATGAAACAAAAGTTAATTTGAACTTCTTATCATCTCCTATGTTGTGCGAACGAGACAGATCGATGACCAAAGAAGAAAAAAAAACAAGAAGGAAAAGTAAAGAAAAAACAGAGAAAGAGAAAGAAATAAAATTTCTAATAAAAATTTCGCGAACCGTCGTAGCGTCGCGTCGATTGGCGTTTCGATGCAGCGTGTCAAGGAATTGGACACCGAGTCAAGCGGAAGTCTGATCGTAATCGTGTTACACGATTGTCGCAGCGGTTCCAGGCGTTCTCGCGAAACGAAGAGCAGATCAAAGGAGCACACAGCTCGAGGCGATGCGGTTCTGTGCACGGCAACCGAACTAATTTCATCGACGAGAAGCGCCAATCGGCCCCCGACACGTACGACGGGACATCGAGCAAGAGAGAAAGAGAGAGAGAGAGAGAGAGAGAGAGAGAAAGAGAGAGAGAGAGAGAGAGAGAGAGAGAGCGGTTGAGCGAACGAATTGGCGACGAACGGTTTGTCCTATCCAAGACCCGAGGGACTCCGATTCCTCCTCCTTTTCCCTCCGCGATAGAACCAGATTAAACCTACGAATTTCCTGCGGTCGGACTGCAATTAATCGATTATCTTCTGCGCTCGGCGACTCGGGTCTTCGATCGATCGATCACGGCGACGACGTTATTGCGCGACACGGCGATCCCCAATCCGGAGAACCAATCCGGAAAATTGTATTTAAAACTTCAAAGGGCGATTCACGCGATCTCTCTCGAATCACGAAAGTTAGTTCCAGCTCTCGTTCTCTCCGTGAACGCGCGAAAGAAAGGTATCAGCGCGAGATGGCGACGGGGGTTGAACTTTTTGGCGAATCGTTATACGCGACAGCGACAAGGAAACACGAAAGACGGAGCTCCAGGGAGAGAATCTGTGCATTCCATCTGTGCGCGTGCATGCATCCGGTGTGAGTGTGTCTGCGAGTGTGCATTCGTAATGTTCGTTGTTTCGTGTTACGCTTCGGAGAGCAATCCCTTTTGTCGTGTGCGTGGCGTGTATTCGTTTACTCGTGTACGTGGCACTGGATTCGTACGTTTTGTGTCTGTTTCTCTGTGTCTGTGCATGGTGTGTCGGTATAATATGTACATGAAAGATCGTGGCTAGAACGATTGACGGCAATCGTTGTTTCAAATACACGGGCACTAAAAAAGAGAAGTGGTTGCTCGGGCAAAATGGGGTGGGGGATGTTTTAACCGAACGATCGAAATGATTAGTAATCGATTGTCAGCGTTAATGACTGAGTAAGACCTAGAGGTATAGTACCATTTTCACTTCGGATAGCGAGCTGATACTCAAGACGTACATGGTGACGCCCACCTCGACAGGAGGACCTGAAATCGAAGGTTAGTCAGACTGAGTCGGCCGTTTCCGGCCGCGGACAAGTTACACGATGGGATGACTATGGTTTTTTTTTTTTTTTTTGTTCACTGATCGTTAAATTATTATTTTTATCATTCTCATTACGGTATCTAAATACGTATGTATGTATGGTATACTTTTTTTTTTTTGGTATTTTTTCTTTTTTTTTTCGTTTCGTTTCGTGAATTATTATTATTATTATTTTTTTCTTTTTTTTTGCTGTGAGTGTGGAATGTCATGGGTATTGAGTGGTATCGCTACGTCGGATGGATCGCTGAAAGTGGTAATTACTCTCGATTAGAGGACCACCAGGATCATCGTTTCTCGATACGTGTGCTTGGTTATCTCCTTTAGAGCTTCGTTGATACTTTGGACGCGGTGCTGAAACGTTGATCGAATTTCGATGTCTTTTGTGGCCGGAATAGCAGCTTCCAGAAAAGAAAGAACCTGTCGACTGAATGGCTCGATTGTCAGACCGGTTCTCCTACAAACATAAGATTTTCGTCTAGCGATCTGGCCGATTCTTTCTTTCTTTACACCTAAAAGTCGCCCGAGTCAGAAACTTTCGTAGAACACCGAATATTCTTTCTACGTGTTTATACGAGCTCGTTCTTGCTTCACGTTACGGGGTAAACTTTGTCGAGAAATTCGCGTTGCGTCACTGTGAAGTTTTGATAGTTTAACGAAAACATAATACATAATTTAACATATGCTCGATGCCCAAACGAACGAAATCGTTCGAGTGTTATTTTCGAATAATTTCGAAATTGTTCGGATGATTTTACGACGAAGACCGTAAGGTTTTCATTAGAAAATCGCAGAGGGGAAAGTTCGAACTGAAGAATGAGAGAGTGAGAAGTAAGAGCGAAGAAGGTTGGCAGACATTTTCGCGATAAAGTTGACTCGTAAACAACGGCTTTGCCAGCGGCATCGCGCGCTGCTTCGATATATCTTCATTTCCATTTCTGGGATGTTTTTAAAACCCTGTAGCCGGTGAACGTCCCATATGGGACACATATTTCACAATGACGGGTCAGCGTACACGTTGCAAACCCGTGGTATCGGGTTAATTGAAATGCGTTGGTATGGCTTACTACTCCAAGCCAATCGCCCATGAGAACGTGTTAAAAAAAAAAAAAAAAAATAAAGAGAGAGAGAAAGGGGGAGAAAAAAAACAAGAGACAGATGGGGAAAAATGCAAAAACGCCGAGGTATCGCCGAGAACGAATTTCCAACGAAAAATATCGATCTTGCTGATACTAGTTATACGCGTTCTGTTTTCTTCTGTGTCTTTCTTTGTAATTACACCTGAGCGCTCGACGTTTTCTTCGTAGTTTCATCGCGCAGCTTTGAAAGATCGTATCTCAACGATAAGTAAGAAGAGACTTCGACCAAGTAAGCGTAAAAACTTATTCCCTTCACTTTTCTATTCGAGTCTCAAGATTTATTTCCTAGGGCTTTTTCTAGGGGCTTTCCCGCTTGACAACGAGATCTATTCTCGCTTCTCGCTATTTCCTCAAGAGTTTCCCTGAAACTGTCGGCTCGTTTTCAAACAATAGCGAGTTTGCTTACGAGTAGAGCACTTTGTACATCGATTTTAGATTCTGTTACATCTTTCTTTGACAGCCTGGTACACTGTTTCACAATTTGCCCTACCTGTTATCCACCTCTACTCGTTATCATCTCTAAATCGACGGTATTCGATATCAGCCTCTCGACTCATCTCAATATCCTATCCTTATATTAAGTCGCTCGCAAGACCGAGTATTCCCGGAACCGATACACCGTTTCATCGAGGATACTCCGCGTCGCAACATTGTTACAGCTAACAACGAATCTTTACGCCCTCCATCGATCAGTGGTTTAACGAACACCCAAGGGCGCATCGTTGCACCAGAGTCCTTGAACTATATTGAATTACGTAGCCACTCATCGATCGAATTGTTTGCTCGCTCATATACACGAGCTCGTCGTAGCGACGCGATGTTTAAGAAAACCAAGCGAGCGAGAGAGAGAGAGAGACGAGAGAAGAAATAAAGAGGAGAAGACAGAAGAACGTAAGCGCGGATCGTGTTTTCTCGTCACGTATCTCCGTCATTTTTACGTAAAGTTTGGCCAGAATGGAAGAGAATCGCGTGCCGGGAAGTTTCACCGTGCTGCGGAGAATATCGGATGAAGGTCGGTCTGAGTGGAAAGGAGTCATGGGGAAGTTTATTTATCCCCGTAGCGGATGCAGGATATATCCCGTTTGCCCATCCGTAATGTCCGTGATAGAGCGCGGCGCGCCATTTAAATTTTAAATGTTAAAACCTAGGTATTCCACGGGCCAAGTAAATCCAGACCGTGTGGAGGCGGCCTTCGTCCAACGAACGCGCGAGGATCTCGACGATTCGGCATCGGGTTTGGCCGCCGTCGCGTCGGAAACCGATACGATTCGTGGCGTTCGAGGGCTTTGGAGAGTGCGCTAAAAATAAAAGGTGGCCTATTGAAAATTCTCGCCGGGATTTATAGGCATTTTTGCCGGGTCGGCGATAAATTCGGTAAGGTATAATACATTCTATCGGATCTCACATCGCCGGACGAGCCACGAATGAAAATTCCGCCGATCGGCCGCTTGTTTACGACGCGACTCGTGTTTACCCAACTCCGTTCCGCGTCGCGGGTCATTTTCATATAATGGTATTTCTTCCCGCTGCCTTTCGTAAATGGGAATTCCCCGGGGAATGTACGTTCGTCGGATATATTCCTCCAGCTAGGAAGCTGGAGGATCCACACGGAAGGGTGTTCTAAAAGTAACCTTAGAGCACAGCCAAGAGGATCGATCGTCACGAGGCAAAACAAGAGAACCGATAGGGAGCTGTTTCACGGAGTAATTCGCACGGTCGGCACACTTTTCCATTGCGCTGGGATCCGGCGGCATTGTCTCCCCGCGGGAAAAGAGCAAGAAACCGCAATTGTGGCACGCCTCCGTGGGTCACCGTGGCTCGCGGCCAGCATCAGGAGTCGCTCCTGGAACTGTCCCAGCCGTAGGATCGGCCCCAGGAATGAAAATGAACGCGCACGTTCGAACTGCCGGCGAATAAGTAAAGAGCGTGTTGCTGTTTACTGTTTTTCCCCTACTCTAGACACGTCCGCCGTAGGCAGCCGCCGCTCGTCTAGCGAAATTTTCCATCAGAATTCCCTTCAACGATCCTCGTTAGCCACGATTTCGCCGCCAACATCTCTCTCCTCTTTCATTTCCTATTCCCCTTCGGCGAACCTGCGGATTTCAGATCCGATCTCCAATCGCCAAATACCCCACCTGCTTCACGATGCTTTTCATCGTGAAATCAACTTGACTGGCTGAGCAGTGTTTCTACCAGATTGTTTAACGAACAACGAACAATTTGATCCTGGATGACGTCGCGAAAGCGACTCGACGAGTCGGTTTACGGTTGTTTGCAACGACCGAGATAACTGTGAACAATTGCTTCAATCTCCGTTTGGGAGCTAATTGCTCCGGTGTTGAAACGATCTCGGTTGGCCAGCGATTGCCTGACTAACTCGAGTGTTGTTAGCTGACAATTAGCGAGTAATTGTTCAGCTGATTTGAATTCAAACCGTCAAACACCTAACGTGCGACGCTTCTCTAAAAACTCCAATTGATTTTCAAATGGCCCGAGAGTCTGAGCTCGTTCGAATTCAGCGAATTATTCGATGAAATTGAATTGACGCGTGTAGCGAGTCACTCCGATTCACGGAGCAACTTTTACTCGTGATTCGACGAGGAAGCGTGACACGCGGTCGCGCGGTTACGCGGTCACGAGCAGAATCGCGAGACCACGAAACCGGAAATCCGAGAACGGGCCGCTTTAAACGAGCGTGCACGCCGGCGAGGAGAAGACGGGCTGACCGAATCTGAACGTTGAATCAACGTTGAAATTGTAATCGAAGGTGAAGAACTGTGTGGATGGTCGGAGCATGGTCGGAGCGGAGAGATGCCGTTAACGGTAACCCGTGGCAACCCGCGCCGCGTCCCAGCATCGATCCAAGTTTTATCGAAGCGCTCCAGCCCCGCCCTGCCTCCACGGGGCCGGCCGAAAATTCGACTTTATCGCGGGAATTGAAAACCGACCGATCCGGGATTTTGCGGGAATCGCGAACGCCCGCGATCCCACTATTTCGCTTTCAGCGTAAACAAATTTCACCTGTCGGTTTCTTTGACGTCTCGTCTGAACGACGCTTCCGAGAATACTCCCTTCCGAAACGATTTACGTTTTAACCTCTTGCGTTGGAATGACGTGCCACGTCGAGAATTTTTTCTCCCAAATTGCAACATTTTCTCAGTTTTAAGTATATTTAAATGTAGCCCAGGCAGAACAAATACGATCAGTTTATTATCTCTTAAATAATTTCAGTTTCATAAGTAATGTTTATTATCTCTGTAATAATTTCTATCCAGTGTCATTATACTGACGAGTTCAAAAGTAAAGGAAAGCGACGAATTATTGTGCACGGTTCGGTCACTCGTTATGGTCCGCGAACCAGTTGCCAGCGCAAGGGGTTGGAGATATCGCGTACTTTTCTTTTCTTCGTCAACCTCATCGCTCTGAAACTATACTGTTTAATCCTGTTCTTCGAACTTGTTGCAATTTGGTAAACGGAAAGATTTTTAGTGCTTTGAAGAATGGCCTAATGTGAGATGGCAATAAAAACATGATTGGATTAAATACGACCATAATGTGACAGAATCACGAGCATTTGTCTCTTGTCTAGAACCGTGGAAGGAAATTAATCTGTAGTTCCATGATTGATTTCTGACAACATCCTATTTCACAATTCTAAAGATTGCCAAACTTTAAAAATTCCGTGGAATGAAAACGAGCGAAACGAAGTTCAATTTGTCAGTCGATAAAATGGTGGCACGACTCTACTTAAGCGATATCTATTATCTCAGTCTTTTTCCAAGAAACATCACATTTGTCAAAAGTACATTGAAGTTGTTTATCAGCGAAGCAATGAATGACTCGCGCAGAGAAACAGCGAGTTGTATCGGTTGTCGGTTGAGGATCGAGTGCGACCGACGAACGATGGATTTTTCATCCTCCCCCGTGTTCGTATCCGGGGGGAGCTTTTCCACCACACGGAAAGAAGTACACGTTCATGAGAGGTTGCTCCCCATTGTTCCGAATATTCTTTTCTGTATCGTTCGCGACGAAAGAGTAAGCGGCGTCAAAAATATTTCCCCGAAGCGTTTCTCTACCCCTTTCCCGTTCTCGTCGTGCTTCTATCCCTTTGTCACGTACCGATCAACGTTTCCGGACCGTGTTCGTTCGTTATCCTGACGTTTTCACGGAGTTTGTCGATTCGCGCGCTCGTGTCCTATTCGCTAAAAACACGTCTCTTGTGTCTGAGAGCCCGATTTCTCGATTTAATTTGAACTTTATCCTTCGCTGCTTAATTCTCACTCCCGCCCTCTTCGGCCGTTTGCCTTGTTTTATCATCGAAGCCACCGTTTCAGCACCGCCGTCTAGCAAATTCGCTTTTCATCGCAAATTTCATTTGAATCCAAGCACACGTTGTTGCAATCTTCGTCCGATGTTCGCAGCGAACCAAGAAGTCTGTGCCTCGTAGCGAATCGAAATTTCACTCGAAGATTATTTTGTTCAGAGTTTATCTGTTCATTGTTAACACGCTAGCTCGTTGAACGATGATAACTTGGTTCGCTGGAGAACAGACACTCGATACGCCCAGTCCGTGCAACGACTATCAGAGATGCGACGAGTAAGCAGGTATATATGCGAAAGTAATCGAACATCGTAGGCAAAACCTGATTTCTCTATGGTTAGGTCGTTAGGTTCGTTAAGTCGGTAGGGTAAGCGATAATTAGTCTGGCGGCGGCGTTAGTCGCGTCGGTTGTTGTTTCGGTGATTGCGGTTTTGCGCACGATATATCGACGCTACCCACAGAGAGTGGTCGAATGATCAGACTATCGATAGGCAGGAGAAAGAAAAAAAAAAAAAGGAAAAGAGACGACGTCGTATCCCCTACTCACCTCCGTAGTTCGGCCTTACTCTTTTATCGTAACTGACGGAGAACGAGTCCAATATCGCGGAGATGTTGACGTCATTCAGCATACTGCCTCCGCCGGTTCTGCAATATAAAAAGGATAACGATTTTTGAGAGAAGTTGCGGGCACGGGAACGCGCGCACAAACACACACATACACACGCGCGCGCTACGGGGCTAAAGAAGTTCCAAAGCGGGTATGAAACTGATGGCACGAGACCAGCGTGTAGAACGCCGCGGCTCGGGCGAAATACTTTTAATATGACTGACGTGCCGCGAGTTACGATACAGAAGAGGGGAAAAAAAGGGGTACAAAGTCTGATGTTTAAGCCACGTTGAGGATATTAAAGTTTCATCCGCTACGACGAACTTTGAAAGAAAAAAAAAAGAATAAAAAAAGAGAATTTTACAGCCCTCTGTACGCGTGCTTTCCGCACGTACTGCGTTTTAATTATGAAAGAGCGATGCGACTACTATAAATTTAGGACGCGGCAAACTTCTCTCTCTCTCTCTCTCTCTTTCTTGTATCCTTCTTTCTTTCCCAGCGTCCCCAGCAGCGTCGAGCTCGTGTTTATTTTCTGTTATATTCTTCCACCTTTTCTCCCGAATTTTCTTCTTTCCTTCTTTCCTCTTGTAAACGCTCGCGAATTTTTATGCGCCGATAAGGAACTGCGTTTCGCGAGGCTCGTGAATCGTTCGACGGAATTCTGTTGCCAGGCAAACGAGTGTTGCGTTGGCTGATCCGCCGCGTTGAACGAAAACTATATGCCTCCGACGCTTACAAGCGGCTAACGCGTTTAAATGGTCAATGACGTGAAAAGAGGCAAGAGATAATTATATTTCAGAGCCGACGTGCAAACCCGGAGTTTGTCATTCAATGAATATTGTCCCCGCGCTGTATTTTATTCAACGATACGACGTAATCTGCACGCGCACTCGTTACCGCGCGTACCGGTTTTCCATTCTACGTTCCTATTTTTATAAATGCGATGTTAAAAGCAGAAGGTTAAAGGGATATTGGCGTTCTCTCAGTCCTTCTTCAAATTTACGATGATCTATTAAACGACGCCACTTCACTCTTACATACTAACCTAATTAATGCGAGAAAGAAACTCGATTCGAGAGTTTCATTCCCCGGCGATTAAATTTCCACCGTACGTTCGGGCGCCGTTCATTTTCCCTCCGATAATTATTTTCAAAGGCGTGCAAAAAAGAGAGAGAGAGAGAGAGATAGAGACAGAAAACAGATACCTCTTTAATATCCAACGCTTAATAGCTTTTTAATATCCGAGGTTTCTCCAATAGCGAGTAATTTATCGTTCCGCTCTTTATCTTGCCGATGGAAGAGATGCTGCAACAATTTGCGCAACGTCGCCGTGCACGATTGGACTTACGTATGCTAGGTTAGATGCGTAAACCGCAGAACGTCGGTGTTTGTCTTAATGGGTCAGTAGATACGTGTTCGACGAGCCACTCAATTCGCTTTGAATCGGTATTTTAATGAAAAAAGAAGAAAAGAAGAAAGCTTCACGCTACTTTCGACGGAGATCGTTCGGTATCGTCAGCTCTCGATTTGAAATTGAAAACGGAAGTATTTTCCTTTGAACAAGAGAAAGAAAGGCTCGCGCTACTTTGAAGAGAAATCTTTCGATATCGTTGGTCCCCGGTTTGAAATTATTTAGTTGAAAAAGAAAAAAAAAAAAAAGAAAAAGAAAGACAAAAGAAAGAAAGAAAAGTTCATGCTACTTTCAACAGATCTTTTAGCATCGTTGGATCTCTGCTCGTAATTGGACGTTGGCTTTGATCGCTCGGTCAAGATCCCAGCGACTGAAACAATATCGTTTCCTGTCGTTCGTCTATATACATAGCGGTGATCTTCGCCAGGGTGTGAAAGGTAGCTCGATCGAGATACGCGGTGAAATAAATGACCGTACGCGTGATAAAGTTAACTTACTGATGCGACAATAGTGGGGCTTTGCGCGAGCTTCAATTATCACGGATCAGTTCGGTGGTATCGTGGAAATTCGAGCGACCTTCCTTTCACTGTTAATCGATGCCTTGCTCCCGATTGCGGTTCGCGTAGTCACTGTAGTTGTACACAAAATGTTCCTAGAATTGGACATTCCGCCGCTATGCCGCGTTATATTGTACGCAGTCTTTTATCTGTTAATCTATTAAGGCCCACCGTTGCGTTAACGCAGCATTCCAGTTTTAATTCTCCCTTTATCAGTCGAATATTTACACGATTGCAATCCTTCTTTTTTAACGTCACTGTTACGTGTAGCAGCAACGCAGATAATTTGTTCGATATTTTTTTTCAACGTTATTCTTCTTCTCCGCTCGGTTTCGGAGTTGCCAATAATGATTTGCTATTCTTCTTTCCAATATACGTTTTATGTTATTTAATAATGTTTCATTTATATCGTCACTTTGTTACTTGGTCTTTAACGCTAGAATCATCGACCAAAAATCCCCTATTTCAGAAATATTACAAATTCGCAACGTTATTCAATTACAACGTTAGAGATTTAAATAGCCTCTTGCAACATTGTGTATCTTCAGATATTTTTCACATCGATTTCATCGATGCATTCCCAGATGGTTGTGCAAATACTAAATGGATCAATTTGATGAATTTCCGACACTTCCGATTTCATTTTTGATTCACTCGTTGGTTTTGACAAAGTTGTTTCACTACTGTTTCACTGTCTGAAATCTTAGATTTCATACAGTATCGATACATATTGCGAACTGTAAATGCAGGAAGTTTAAAGGAGCGTCTGAGCACGAGAGTTGAAGGACTCTGATTGATTCGAAGGTTACCGGGAATTTTGGAAGTTTCGAGAGCTCTGGCGATTCCGGAAGTTTCACGAGACATCCGGACGTTTCAGAGATTCTGGATGTCTCTGAGGAATATAGGAGTTTCCAGCGGTCCTGGAAGGTATCACCGGGAGTTCCGCTGCTTTTAACAGGGAAATTTCGCTACTTCAATTATACCTGCGGTTTTCGAGTATAACCAAGTCGTAGGAAATTCGAAAGAGAACTTCTCTCTCCGGAAGATTCTAGATACCCTATTTCTAGATTCTCTATTTTTCACTTTCGAGCTCGTTAGAATTTCTCAACTTTTCAACGCTCGGAAACGAATTCTATCCGGAAACGAACCCTTGAATTTTTGAACGCTCCTCGAAACTTCTCGTCTTTTGGAAACTGCGGGAAGTTTAAAGTTCGCGGCGCGAACTCGAACCAAGCGAAATTCTCCGAACTGGAGGATTTTCGGTAGTTTCTCTCGATAGTTTCGAATTCGTCAATGCCCGAAATATCTTGCGAAACCTTCGGGATCAACCTGTCAAGATTCCCAGAGTTATGGTAATCCCTTGAAACCTTCGAAACCCCCGAATTCGCCGGGACTCTCGAATCTATCAAAACTTCTCCGAATCTTTCAACAATTTTCGTCCGACAAACTGTTCGTTGAAATTTCCTCGGTTTCCAAATATTTTCGTCAATATTCGAGCCTGTTCCTTCAGACGCGTGAATTTCACGAAAAATAGAAAAAAGAGAAAAAATCATTATCGGGTGTATCTCGGATGTTCTTTTCCAATTTTGGCTTATCCCCGTGCGTGACGATCCCTCGACTATCGCGTAAAAGTGCTCTCGATGCATCATTTCCCGTGACGTTCTATACGCGAGATTTTTCGATCAAACAACGGTACCGGTAACCGTGTTCTCCGCGTCAAGGCGAGAAAGAGAGCGAGGAGAGAGGAAGAGTCGATCTGGCTGGAACACCAGCGCGTGTCGATCGCCGTTTCACTATTTTTAAAAGAGCTGGCTGACGAGTGCGCCGAGCGGAAGTGCCTTTGACCGTACGTATGTGCCTAGACGAAGGGAGAAGAAGAAGAGAGAGAGAGAGAAAGAGAGAGAGAGAGAGAGAGCGATTTATCGAACTACTCCCAGAACCCGCCGTGAACTAAATCTTGCGCAACGATATCTACGAAGAACTTAGTAGCGGTCTGCGATAATAGGTCAGAGGTTAGGCGTATCGATTAGACGTAGATACCCGCTCTTGGAACAAGGGTGCGAATACCGTCGACGATGTTACAAACCTGTGGGTACACGTTCTGCGTCAGAGTGCGGGTACACGATCTCGTTTCGTTTCGGATAATATACGAGAGGTGGAGATAGGGTTATGGGGGGGGGGGAGGTAGGGGAAAAGCGCCGATTCATTTATATTAAATTACTGGGAGATGGTGTAATTTCGGTAACTCTCGTCAGAGCGTCGCTTGTTGTTGCGTCCCTACGCTAATGAACACTTCGCGCGGAGAGAATACAAATACGTCATAATTGTTCTGGGTGCTGTGTCTCGCGGAACGATTACGGGTCGTTATAATGCTCGTGCGATCGTTGTTCATCGGCCGGCGTTTTAAAACGGTTAAAATCCTGTGTAATTCCCTCTTGTTAGTATCGAAATTATGGAAAGGGAAGAGATGGGGGGGGGAGAGAGAGAGAGAGCGTGAGAAGGAAAGGGGAGAAGAGAGGAAAAGAAAGAAATATCGTTGGCGGAGAAACATTACGCTGGAGGCGACGTTAATTGCACGGAAAGTGCCAAAGTGCCGTAAACTTCGAAGCACGGTAAATTCCGGCGGATTAAATGCGCCACGGAGTTCGCGGCGCGGAGTCACGTGTGATTAATTCGCTGGTCGCCGGAAAGTTTCCGCTTTATATAAAACGTCTCCGTGGCGCGCAGGTATTTCACCGATGCGCCACGCCGAAAGAAGAATTTATCCGCGAAAGAAATATCATCACCGTCGCGCTCAGCCGTTATTTCAACTTCAGCCTTTGACCGAGCAGTTCCTTTTTTTAATCGGATCAAGTTCAACACCTGTTCCCAAATCTGAGTATAGTTCAACCACTTGCGCTAGCAACTGATTGCGGAGCATAACGAGTGACCAAACTGTATACAATAATTCGTCGCTTTCTTTTTGAATTCGTCGGTATATCACTGGATAGAGATTATTGAGAAGTAATAAATTTATTATTTGTTAACACTTAACATTGAGAAAATATTACAATTTTAGGACAAGAAATTC